CAGTGTTCAAGTGTATAAACATGTGGTCCTTGCAGTGTTCAAGTGTATAAACATGTGGTCCTTGCAGTGTTCAAGTGTATAAACATGTGGTCCACATGGTGTTCAAGTGCATTAATGTGTACAACATTTATTTTAGAGTAAAGGTTTGCAGTTAACTCAAGGTGGTGGTTAATCTGTTTATTATTGAATCTTTATCCTGTATAGAGAGGAGATAATCCTCTTTCTAATTAAAATGTGCCACTCACTGAAAATAATTCCCAAATGTTTTTGCCACCTGATATTTTTAAAATATAGTAACTTATAAACAGTCGGAATGTGCGAGTATACAGTCAACACAGTTTATCAACAGACGTTATTTATATTAATTTATTTTATAGAACATTGGTATAGTCAAATATTTGTTATACTTGCAATATAATCTATTGTAACATATAATTATCAAATATATAAAACATATCAAATGCTGACCATGCATTACTTTTGTTTTTGTTGCATTTTGACCTAAGACGGACGACTGCAATTTACATAAGTGCACTGTGCTACTAACCCAGCAAATACAGTATTTATTTGAATTGAGTGCAACTATAGTAACATTCATTTATTAAATAATCCATACACATTACCTGTCGTCCTGGTGATCTGGAATAGGGTCCAGCGTAAGTAGGTTCAGTTGGCGAGTTTGGATAACCATCTCCTTCGTCTATTGGGGGCTCATCATATCGATTGTAATTGTCTGGTGGATCATCATAACGATGTGGTGGCATATCTTCATATCTATTATCATATCTATCATCATAATCATATTTATTACCATTACTGTATCTTGGCCCATCCATATCATCATTAGGGGGTGGTACTGACGTCAAACCAGGTGTCATCTCCACATCGGATGGGGCGGGTTGAGTAGGTTGACGACTGAAACGAATACATCAACAATTATAACAATATATAACTAATGTTTTTCATTGGAATAAACTTTTGTATTTGATATAGGCATTTGTGTTATCAGCTTACATAACAGAATAGATTGCGTTTACTGCCGATCTATTCTTCAATGTATTATTATGGAAATTTATTCAGGGGTTTTTCTAGAAAAAATGAACAAGAGGGAGCACACACAGGCGACTGCGCGAAGCAATGCCATATCGGGAGGTTTCTGAGCCGTTTTAACGGAGTATCTATTGTCATTGAAATATTTTTGGAGTAATTTTAGTGTATTTGGTGTCCAGACACATTGTCAGCTGGTGTTTGCTTGGAAGTTTTCAAGGAGAAAAATATATTTGAGAAAGATTTCATGTTGTACGACAGCACGGAAGTGCGCGGCTCAAGAAATATATTTATGACTTAAAAGTTCAATCGGCAATTCGGTAAGAGGGTGCCAGCCGAGAGTATCAGGGTGCTGTGCCTCTGTTCCGCGGTTTAGAAAAATTCCTGGTAATTCTAAAAAATGAAAAATCTTATTTAAATTCAGTATACTTACTTATGATTGCTGTTAGATGAAGTATATTTCTCACTTGCTGCAAGACACAAAAGTACATAGTTAAGCACACATAAAAAAACTATAATACTGTAAAATAATTTATTTTAGTTGGAATAAATTTTAGTTGAAAAGACTTTTTGTGTGTTTCGTGTGGAATTTATTTTTACTGATTTTTGACAAGTTGAATGTAAGGTATAGGGAAAAAGATATATTCTCTGGATTTTATTTTCACAGAATAATTCCTTCAGTGAAATTAAATTCCAAGCGAGAACAAAGTATTTTACAGTATATACTGTACTGTATTTATTTTGTCTATAAAAACAACAACTCTGCACTACTAATAGAGAAAGTACCGGTACTGCTTGGGTCATGTTCTTTGTTTTATAAAGTGTGTTTTTTTTTGTACATGCAGATACTGTCCATATTCTATTCTGAATTACAATCTGTCTATAATTTCATCAAGTACTTACAATTCTTCTTCTTTCGTCGACTCATACAGAACCATAATACAATGATTATAATCACAAATACAAATACTGCCACTCCAACGCTGATGCCAATAATACAACCAGTGTCACAACTAGAGGCGCCTGTCTGTGCTGCTAATATCACAAAATAGTTATAGTTAGTCAAACAATAAATCACAACCACTAATAGTTCATGTACAATGAATCACATCAGGAACCCCTTTAAACCGGATTGCACGTTGACAGATTGACAGTGATGACATCATAACATATCAAACACACGTGCCAGTGTAGGCGGTACCGGTATACCCCCAATAACAGCAACTGATAATAGTAATTTTCAAACTTTTCAATATTTTCTAATATGAATAATTCCACACTGCACATTAATATTTCAGTGTCCAATAATAACACTAATAGACATGGTTGCTATTGGTGTTCCAGTCATAAATACAGTGTATACATGGGTAACTTTGCCTTCTACTTTGTAGAATTCTTGAAACCACCTTTCTTCCAATAAATAAAATATTTGGTATTCTTAATTTGAAATTTAGACAATATTTGTTAGGTGGTTTGGAAAATGAAAGGTTTTGCATAAATTTTGACGTTCCTACAAAGCAGAAGAGCAGTTACATCATGTAATAATGATACTGAAAGACAAGTTTATGCTATATTAGATGGTTAGTACAATTAGTATCACAAAGACACAAAACAAAATAGACATAAAAAGAAAGAAATAAAACCCCAAACAAGCCAAGCAATGGAAAATAAAGACAGCTCTACAAACTACAGGACAATGCAGCACCTTTATTACCCATTTGAAATGTATTGATCCACACACTGTAGGGATAATATGTTGACGGGCTATACTATTCTATACTATGGGGAAGGCAGTTGGGCTGATGACAGCAATGAACTGTGAAAATGTTTCTGGAGTGACTACCATTTCATTTCATTTCTATTACGACAAGATCACCACCTGTTGATCTGGCCAGGTCACCTGACAAGTCACATGACAGAAACACCTAATGTGCATTAAAGCACTGCTAAAATATTTCCCAAGAGTTAATTACGGAGCCTAAGTTTTGAATAAATTATACAAATGAAATCCAGTTTCACGTTAACTTTGTTCGGTAACCACTTTAAAAACAAGACTGAATTTACCAAATGTTCACTTTCATAACAGTAAACTTTTGTACCATAGCCAAGATGGATTTAGTTTTTATTTGAGCACATGAGTTATGAATATGTTATTTCTAATAACGAAAAGAATTAGATGTTTTGACTGAGAATTAAAGATTAATATCATGAAGGGTTTTATATTAACATCATGAAGAGATCGTAGGCCAATTGGCCATCTGATTCAAGGCTCCAGCCACTTCAGTGCTGCAGCCATTACTGGTAAGTACATGTATGATCAAAAATATCATTTGTATCAGTAAAGGAAGACATATTTCCAGCAGAAGAAAGAGTGATTATTTGGATTTTACAAGACATACATGGCTACTTAAGTTATTAAAGCAACTAAAATCAGTACAGATGTTAAGCTATTAATCTGAAAACTAAAATTCTAGTAGAGGTTATGACAGATGTTATGGATGCATTAAGCAAAGCAGGCTTTGTTAAAAGCATGGGTGCAGGATATACAACAGTGGATATGGTGCATAGGAGTTATGAAACTCTATGTAAGCTTATATTACGCTTCACACACTAAGTTACAACAGACACTGATATACAGGGAGGTAGAATTAACTGCCGTGAAGCTGACCTGAACCCGTTGCCTGGACTTCAATATCCGCGTATGATTCTCCAAGTTGACAGCGATAAGTTTGAACACCTTGTGCATCAAATACAGTTAACGTTGTTTTCTGTTCATCACCTTCCACTGGATCAATGTCATAGCCTTCATCAGAAGGATCTATTTGTATGTAATTTGACCCGTCCTGTTGGAGCCATTCCCAACTCTCATTATCGGGAAATGGTGGTACAGCATCTGTGCCGCACTCTAATACGGCGTCAGACCCTGCTTCGATTTTGAGGGGACTATCTGTGATAGCGTTAACTGTGGGTTCGTCTGCAAACAGAACAATTTGTGGTACACACAGGGTTTATAACAAAAAAAAATAATAAACAATAATAGAAAATTAAAAAAGCTTCATGCAAAGTAACACATCTTTGTATCAAGTTGCTCTGCAGATTTTTAAAATCTTTTAACTTTTAGTAACTTTTTTTGCTCGTAGTTCATCGAAGGTCAGGTCAGTGCGACATTTACAAAAAGTGGAAAAGATGAAAAAGGAAACAAAGAGTGGATGTAACAGGAATAACAAATTAAATCAAAATGAAACGATAAATATTATTACTCAGTGCAAACTTGTAAGGATCTAGTTGTTATTAGTGGAACTATAATGATACAAGTACTACATGACTGTTAGATTGCACATGATTTGAATCACTGATAACACTATCAAATCAGCCTACATGAGCAGACATAACATCATTGGTAACCCAATCTAAACATCAGTTCTCTATTCATTTACATGCCATATTAACATAAAAAGCAGACAAACAGACATGTACAAAATAAAAACTTAATTAAAGCTGGATATCATACAACTTGGAATTTTTATTCTGAGTTTCAAGCACATAATGGCTTGAACATATAGTTAAAAGTCATCCCTGATACATATCCTTGAAGTCACACACACACTGGTAATTTTTGAGGTATTACCTCCCGATAAAATCAATAATTTCAAATAATGTATATCATTCTTTGCTATAATCCACTGTTTTTCAACATCATGACAATTAGCATTTTCAGTGGAAATTGAGAAATTCTTAGTAAATTTGTACCCCATGAATTACCAGGAGTGTGACCTTTTAGAGGTCATGCATATGGTCCATTGCACAAGACTAAATGTGATACAGCGCCTTATAGGGGATATCTGGATTTCAAGGACACTAAAGTAAGGGTTATAGGGAACCCATGCAATAGGTGATTTTCCGTACAATTGCGAGATCTCGCGAGATGCATGAAAGACGCGCGTCGAACATCTGCCGCAAAAATCGAACGATTTGATTTTGAACTCGAATTTCCTTATTTCGTAGCTCACACCGACCGGCCGATCTTTGACAGAGGAATATTGCTTCCGAATACCCTTACTTAATCGAAATTGCCTATCATCAAATGTGGACAGCACATTATTAAGCATGGAAATGTCCCCAAAATACTTTCACGTTTGTCGAATCCCACACGATGTTTGACGCGACTACGACGCTATGACCTTTGTTTGTCCTGTTTTTACGTTCGATTTCAAGCATAACGCGTGATTCTCGCAGTAAACGGAAAATGGTCTATTGTGAGTTGATAGAAATAATACAGTGGATACCAGGTACCAACTGATAATGTACAAAGCAGTTGAGTGAATACTTTGCTGTGCATGTCACTGAATGATAACATGCGAGGTGAAATTGGCGTTGAAGTCAAGAGCTTAGTTGTATGATAAGACTACTGGGGGTACAGCTATGATAAAACTAATGTTTTTTTGTGATTTATCACTACGTCACCATGCACATAATGGCACCAACAACCTTGTCCAGCTAAACTGTTTAATTGCATCCAATGTATCATTGTCAACACCTTTATTGCACATGCATCACACCTAGTTTTAGCATGCACATTTTTATTGCCCACCGAGAACAATGCTTTATTGCACCTTTTGTTAATTTCTACAAACTGTCAACTGCTACTAGTTCTCAATAAAGTTAAATCTTACAAGTTTGCAAACTGTACACTCCAGTATTAAAGTACTATGTTTATATATTCCACACTGCCATGTATAGTCTTCATTATTATAATACAGACATGTTTCAAAACACTGTTTTAAGAAAACAAGCTCTGCCTCACTACTCACAGGTAATAACAACAATATACAATAGATGAATTCAGTATTGTGGCAATAAAATAACATGGTTTATACATGACTAGCACCTGGAAGGTTTCCTGATGACACCCACACAGGGTAAATTAAAAATAAATGGTAATTTCTGAGAGAAGGGGGCGGGATATACATTTATTATCAATATTAAATTTTTTCAATTTTATTGTTAGATCTAAAAGTAGATACAGAAACAATATGAATATTTTTATTACTGGTATTATACTGAGTAGTCATATCGACCATTTTGTTGAATACATCAATGTCCATGCAAAAAGTACAACAGACATTTTGACGATGGCCATTATTGTAATATCTGTTCATGGTATTCCTGAGCCATAGAGCTTGAGTTATCGGAGCAGGGTGAATATGATTGAGAATGGTAAAAGCAAGAAGGTTTTCTACTTAATATGGTGTGAATTTGCTACAGATTTGGTGGAAGCCAGCCAGTAGAAAATAGAAATATAATTTTATTGCAGGATAGTTTGAATAAAAAAGCATGCTTTTTAATGCTATGCAATAATAAACTATTACCATTATTAATAATGATATGCAAAATTTGAAAAATTATCTAGACTTTTTGCGTTAATTTTTAACATAGACAAAATATTGTTATCATAACTGTGGGAATATTGATATATATTGGAGTGTGGTATTAGATGAAAAATAGTAATGGGTTACACATCTAACACAGCTGTCTACCTTATGTATGAATCAAATATAATGAACGTGATACAAATATCTAATATTCAAATTGATGACAATGTTAAGTAAAAGAAGTAGTGATGAAAGATGGAATAAATTGAATTTCAATGGAAAAAATATTCCACATCATTATAAATTACAAATAGATTTTAACAATTAGTCTGGAAAATGAATTATAATTTATGAGTTTTGTGTTGTGTCACGGACATAAATTATGCTAATTAGGCAACACATGACACATTGTTTACATCACCAACGTCTATTATTGGTTTAACTGAAATGGTCTAACGGTTATTATTTATTAATAGCTGCTGACCTAAAAAAAAAAGGGAGCAGAGTACAGGTTATTAGCATTATTGTTTTTTTATGAATCATAAATCGCTATATGTGCACACAAAAATCACTTAAATACGTTTTTAAATTTGCAAATATTGAATAAACTGGCAAGAATTGAGTGCTAATACAGCTAAAAAAGGGGTGAATACAATGTATTTTATTTCTGTACATCTGTTACCACAAAGCTAACAGAGCATTTACCGGGGGGGGGGGGGGGGGGATGTATGTATATATATATATTATATACATTGTATATGACCCATATTGAACTAGCACTTTAATAATTATTAATATGTAGACTTATCATATGTCACAATAATACATGTATGATATTAATATCAACAAAAGAAAAAGAAGATAACAATTTTACTGTTTCCATAGCAATTAAAAACTCTTGATATATATTTCTAGACAACAGCCTGAGCTATTTAATTAGAAACGATTGAGGGTGGAGGATGAATATAGATCTGAAGATGCACCATTAAAAGGTAGAAATATTGATTTTAATGTGATGGGGTCTTAGACAGCTGGCAACAAAATAACAGCTGTCGGTTTGTTGTGCCTTAATTCTGATCATTCTGTGAATTTACTGAGCTTTGGTTAATTTACCGATTGATGTATAGAAGCCAAATGAGATTTTCATAAATTTTTGTTTTTATACCAAATCATTTTTGTGTCCATGATCTGTGAAGTTAAAATTCTTGTGAAACAGTAGCTTCTTTTCTACTGAATACAAAGAATGTATGTGATTAATATTATTATTTACTGTGGAATACTTTATTTTCACTGGAATTAATTTTCGCTGAAAAGGCTTTTGGGGCGTTTTGTATGGAATTTATTTTCACTGATTTCTGATGAGTTTAATGTGAAATATAGGAAAAAAAGTATATTCGCTGCATTTTGTTATTATCACGGAATCATCCCTTCAGTGAAAATAGCGAAAATAAATTCCAAGCGAAAATAAAGTATTCTACAGTATTCAACTGATGTTAAAAACAATAATTTGATCATTTATAGTTAAGTTTATCTTTTTACAGTAATCAGGATTACTGTGGTAATTAGGTAATCATTAATGAATTAAGTAGATTAATTGCTTATAAACGTTGTTTGGTAACTTAATGGTAATCTTTTGTCATGAACATTTATCCAGTTGAAGAAGTGACATCAACTAATATAAACATGTTTCTGTAAAAGATGATACTAAAATAATATAACAAACTTCCCACTTCCAAATTTATTTGCATGTCTGTCTGTGTCTATACCCATTTGGTTATTTAATTGAAAGCTTATCGACACAGCAGAGGTGAGAGATATCATACAGCCAAATTACTGGAATTAAAATACTGAACAGATTGTCTGTTTCCACCCATAGCATCTTTCATACGGTGGTTTTCAGTTGCCCTGGTTTCTTTACATGCATTAACAATTATAACAGCAGTCTTTGCAAAAAGTTAATGAATTTAATTTGACCTCTTGATGACCCTATGAAGATAGTCGCCACATTTATCTTGAATATTTATTATTCAAATTTTTTTTTCCGGTTATTTTTATATTTATAACTTATAAATGTGGAGTGCATATCTCATTTTCTTTATAACATTTTTCCATCAAATACTAGTAACCAATTTGTCTTGAGTAAATAACAGACTTTTCTTTTGGCCATGCGATGCAATTATAAAAAAAAACAGTAAATTTATATATTATAATTATGTTTAATAACATTGATTGCTATCAATATTGAAATCTCAATGTAGGTGCATATTGAGTTGGTGTTATTTAAGTCAAATATAGTGCTAAACAATTCTTATTGACGCGATAGAATTATATATTTGAATTTGAGCATGAAAAACATTTTTTCAGTGCCCCCATCCCATAATTACCAGGTGTTGCCAAAAGGAAGGGTTAAAAGTAAAAAAAACAACTGTAAAATACTTTATTTTCGCTTGGAATTAATATTTGCTATTTTCGCTATAGGAATGATTCAGTGAAAATAAAATCAAGCAAATATTCTTTTTTTCCAATATTCAAATATTCTAAAAATCCATACAAAACACCCAAAAAGTCCTTTTCAGCGAAAATCAATTCCAGCTAAAGTATT